AAATTGTGATAATTTTTCCAAGTATCAGCCTAAATTTGATAGGAATTCAAGCTGCCCTTTGAATGATGCAGACCTTCCAGAGCTGAGGTCAACGCAGGGGGAACTGGAGTTTCCACAAGGAATTGGAGAAGCACCCAGACTGACATGACAGAAACCAGATGAAGTCCAGTGACACAGAACTGCGTGATCATGTACTCAGAGAAGAGGAACAAGAATTTCCAGTTATCCCTGTCCAGCAGCAGAGCTCAGCAGATGAACTCACTGACCTGGGGATGCCTTTAAGTTATCAATATAGCAAGTCTTACCAAAGGGACAACAACAACCGTGGGAAACTCTCTGTGGGATGGAGAAGTATCAGCACGGCTGTGCAGAGCAGATGTTGGGTGAGGTGAGCATCTGATTCCAGCCATCTGCAGCCACGAGGTGCACGCGTGTGCAGCGAGGCACAGCAAACTCACAGGGATGGCCAGGGACAACGTTGTAACAAAACCAAGTGACTGAGCAAATGGAGATTAAGAGAGGGCACAGCAATATGTGCATTTGGGTGAGTGAAAGAGCAGCAACAGAGAAGGAGAAGAACCAAAGGGTGACTATTAAAATAAAGAAAAAATAAATACCATACTCTAGAAATTAAAATAAAGTTTCTAGGCTTTGGAATCAGCATGAGTGTAAAGCAATCTACCTGCAGCAGGCATTCAGGCAAGGATTAGAAAAAAATAAATTACTACTAGCATGGAAATCAATCCATTTATAGGAGACCACACAAAGTACTGTTGGGGGAAGCAAGGAGGCAGCAAGCAAAACCTTCCAGTCCTACGGTTTTATAAGAACGTAATTCCCAGAATTCACAGTGGAAGCTGAGGATTTCTCACGTGTTTCCCTACATACAAGGGCTTCTTCCAGCTCCAACAAGCGTTAACATTTACTGGAATGCAAAGAGTGTGAAGCCAAGCTAATCTTTAAACAGCACGGACAGGAGAGCGCTAAATGCCAGCGCAGCACCCTGCACACACAGTACGAGTGCTTGTGTGCAGGCAGCACGAGCACGAGCCCAATTAGCACAGCCCGAACTGAACTGCTCGCTGCTGGCAGCCAGGAGCTGCTCCCCTCCCAGGGCGCCCTCCTCCGAGAGCACGGAGTTACACACAGCAACAGGCGGCCAGCAGCTCGGCGTGGCTTCATGCGTCTTTCACCATCCCCATCTGTTTTGAACCTTTAAGAGGTTCTGATGTACAGACCTGCGTTTTGGGGTTGTTTTTAAGTGAATGAACACAACTAAAAGGCATCTTGCATTCTGCTCCAGCTGTCTTTGTTTCCTCGGTAAAAAGGAAATACAGAGGGAAAGCAGAATGCAGAAAACAGTGTGAACAGCTCTATAGCACGGCTTCTAAATCTAAGAAGATGGGGTTCAGCAAAAATCCAATGCCGGGAGCTCAGACAGGCCAAGAAGCTTCCACTCTCTGCACACTCACTGCATCTCCCAGGAGAGGCAGAACAGCAGCAAGGAACGAGTGCCAGCAGGACAGGGACACAGGGTCAGCAGTGGGGACGCTGCAGGGAGGGGAAAGATCTGCCCTGATGAACAGCTGCAATGCTCTTACAGGGACAAGGGGCACAAAGGTGCACAGGTAGGAGTAACGTCTGCTTTGGAAATCACAGCTGACTTCAACAGCCGTGTGAAAGAACATCATCACAGCTTCCCCGGGCCAAGCGAAGAAAAGGGTGAAAGGAATGCAACGCATCTTAACTCGTAACTCCTGGGATTTTCAGGTATTGCTTCCTCAGAAGTTGGTTTTCTAGAGCATCCTAGTGGGCAACCTTGTCTCTGTGTTACCTCTGTGTTAATTCTCACCCTCCAAATCAGACCTCCAAGGCTGAGTTCCTTTTTTAAATGCAAAGGAAGCATTTTCTATGCTTAAGCAACTGTTTTGCTAACAGTATATCTATACAAGCCCAAAGCAGAGCTGTTTCTCAATGGCTAGCAACAGTAGCATTGGAACTTAAGTGTTTCATCACAGTGTTAGAGCTATTGTTTGGAGCGCAGACATGCACACGAACCTGCAGGGAAGCCAAAGATGCAGCCTGTGTCTGATCTCCGGAAGTTGTCACATAAGCACAGGCACAAAGAACAGGACAGGAAACAAAAAACTGAGCAGATCTCAATGTTTTCCAAGCCTTTGCAGTGCTGCCCACTCCTGCTGGGGGGGGCATTAGAGGTCCCTGAGCATAGAGCAAGGTGCTCCTGGCTGTCAGACACCCTCTGCTACCTTCCTGCAGCTGACTGAGCAGCACCACAACAAAGGGCACATCACTGTGGTGGTTGGTAGCAGAAAACATAAGCCATATTCCTCCCACACTTTCACTACCTCCTCCACCAGCTCAGCCCGGATCTCAGCTTGGTTAGCCAAGCAAGACCCTTTCATCCCCCAGCTGCCTGAACAGGATCAGAAACTGGTCTGGGTTTAAAACAGCCCTTTTCTGCTAGTTCCTCACATGGCTACAGAAACAGCTGCACCAGCACAACTCACGGGCAGCAGAGTTTGCACAGCCTAGAATTGCTTCCAAAAAATGTGGCATTCTCAGAGGTGTGAAGTGTCTTGCACACTTCAAGGAGATCTTACCAGCTGAACAAGAACATTACAAAGGTGAAAGGCAGCCCCAGACACTAGGTCCTAGAGGGATTGTTCCATTCACTGGAAGAGGTTTCTTGCGTTCTGTAACACAAGAAGTGCAACATTCTCTATATCGTTAACATCTGTTCAGTATTTCATCATCGTTCCGCAGAATATAATGGTGCAACTAAAACCAGAATTTGTGGAAAAGTTATTTGGAAGCTTTTACTGAGGTTACCCAGAAGGAAAGGTGTGATGATGGGCAGTCTATTCCCATGACCTCTTGAAAGTAAATCTAGGCTTGAAAGTAATCAGTATTTTAAGTGATAGGGGCCACTCATGACTTGCAAAAGCACAGAAGAAAATAGGAAAACACTTTCATTTTGAAAAACTGACAGAAAAATTCAATATCCTTCATTGTCAAAGACAGAAAAAACAGAAGCAGCTGCTTTCTCTCCCCTGAAGATGCTGCTAGTTATGTCTATAGCTTCAGATTTCAGTTTCCCTCTTCTCTGCAGCCTACATCAAGGGGTTTAATCTTTTCCAATCTGGTCCAACCTTTAAACAGAAACTCCCAGATGACATCAGCAGTGGCTGTTTCCAAGCCCCCCATCCAGCACCTACTGGTTTTGTCCAGCAGTCAACACAGCGCAAAGCACATCACTACCACTGCCCTCCCGAACACATCTTGTCCTGATCAGAGTTAAGGCTGCAAAACTGCACTATGTTCTGTGGGAAGAGATTAAAATATAAAACAAGAGGCTGTCATTACAGCCACAGGGAGCAGATATTGCTCAGCCTGGAGTGGAAGCACTTCTGAGCTTGCGGGTCAAAGTCCAGAAACACACCAGCTAACTCGGACTGTGCTAAGCTGGGAGCGTCTCCCATCGGGTTACTGAACAAGAACGCCCTCACATCTGTGCTGTGGGCACCCACCTGCTGACACTGCCTCGCTCTGCCCTGTCCTTATGGGGGGTTCTCACCCGAGGTGCTTTTCAGACTGTGATTCCTCTAACTTCAGCCCTCCAAGAAGACACAGCAAGCACTCCGCAACCGCGCTGCTGAGCGCGAGCTCCTCACACCTCTGGGAAAAGGGAAACGCCACCAGCAGCGGGAGCGAGCGGAGCGCTCAGAGCCGCAGGGCCAAGGCTCCCCGAGGAAGGCAGAGAGCACGGAGAGCGGCGAGGCACAAGAAACGACTGACGGGGCGGCTATAATTAGCCGCAGCCCCGAAGAGGCCGGGAGGCGGCCCGGGGAGCTCCTCGGGGCACGGAGCGAAGCGGGGTAGAGGTCGGGGCCTTACGGGTCGCGGCCGGCGGCGTTGTCGCGCTCCAGCAGGACGATGTGCCGCGGGTAGTGCGCGCAGACCTCGCCGTGGGCGTTGGAGATCACGCTGTAGCGGTAGTCGCGGCCGAAGAGCTCCAAGCAGCGTCGCTCGATCCGCTCCACCTGCGCGCAGCCACCGCTCAGCGCCCGCCGCTCAGGCACCGGGCGCCGAGCCCCCCGCGCCGCCCCCCGGCGCCCCTCACCTTGGCGGCGGCGGCGCCCCCGCCATCCTTAGCGCGGTACTGAGCGCGGGAGAACTCCAGCAGCAGCTCGGCCAGGCCGCGGTCCCCGGAGCCCGCCGGGGGGCAGCCGCGGGCCACCGCCATGCCCGCGCCGCTCACCGCCGCCACCCCATGGCGCCGCTTCCGCCCGCCGACGCTTCCGCCCGCCCCGCGCTGCGAGTCATCCAATCGGCGCGGGCACAGTGCCACGCCTCTTCCGGCGCGGCGCCGTCGTCATCGCCGCGCGACACGGGCGGGGGCGATGGGAGCTGCGCTATGGGCGGGCGGAGCGCGTGGCTAACGAGAAGCTCCTGCATAGGCAGGGGCGTGGGGAGCCTTTCGGTGGCTCCGTACCCGTTGTTCGGGCGCTGAACGGCCCTGCCGGTAGCCGGACCGCTGCAGCCCCGCAGCGGCCTCAAGTCCTCCCCCGTGGCCCCAGTCAGGCACGCGCACATCGGGATAGGGGCTGCGCGGGAACCCCTCCTGCGCTGCGCGGTCGAGCCGCGCCTTACTCGGGTTCCTCAGCCCCGCCGATCGTGGCCGATCCATTCCGAACCTTCCCGAACCGCTCCGAACAGTTCCGAGCCGCGCCGGGCGGGGGCGTGGCGTGGCCGAACGCCTTTCCGAGCGCGGCCGAAGCCGGGGCGGGCGGAGCCGAAGCTCGTCTCGGCGTCCCGCTGCCGGGGGCGCGCGGCGGGTCGGGCTGGGCCGGGCTCCGCAGTGGCGGGGCGCGCGCACGCGGCGGCGTCGGGAGCGCGCGCGCGGGGCGCAGAGGCGGCAGCCAAGATGGCGGCGCGGGTGGCGCAGGGGCCGGCGGCCCTCGGGCTCCCTTAGGCCGCAGGTGGTGGCCGGCGCCGGGCGGGGCGGCCCGATCAGCCAGGATGCTGCCGTCGCAGGAGGCCTCCAAGCTGTACCATGACAACTACGTGCGGAACTCGCGGGCCATCGGCGTGCTGTGGGCCATCTTCACCATCTGCTTCGCCATCATCAACGTGGTGGTGTTCATCCAGCCCTACTGGGTGGGAGACAGCGTCAACACGCCGAAACCCGGCTACTTCGGGCTGTTCCACTACTGCGTGGGCAGCGGGCTGGCGGGCCGCGAGCTGGCGTGCCGCGGCTCCTTCACCGACTTCAGCACCATCCCCTCGGGCGCCTTCCAGGCGGCGGCCTTCTTCGTGCTGCTGTCCATGGTGCTGACGCTGGGCTGCATCACCTGCTTCGCGCTCTTCTTCTTCTGCAACACCGCCACCGTCTACAAGATCTGCGCCTGGATGCAGCTGCTGGCAGGTGGGGGGCGGGGGCTCGGGGGTGGGGAGGTGTCGGGGCGCTGGCAGCAGAGCTAAGGGGTCGTCCAGGCACCGGTTGCAGAGCTTGAGTGAGGCACTGGGTGCCGGTATAGGGGTTGTCCGGACACTGGCACTAGAGTTTGAGGGTCTCCTAGACGCTGGGTGCTGGTGCTTGTGCTTCGTAACACAAGCTACGAAGGTGCCGGTGGGGGGGCTTTCCAAAGCACTGGCACCCATGTTGGACACTGCTCCATATGCATGCTGGTTTTGGGGATTCTTTGGATACTGAGTGCTGGGGTTTGGAGTGTTTTGGGTACTGGCTGCTGGAGGTTCTCCATGTGGTGGGTGATGGGGCTGGGAGGGGTCAGGGCATTGACACCCGTGTTAGGGGCTTCTCTATGCACTGCGTGCTGGTGTGAGGGGTGGCCAAGGCACTGGCATCAAAGCTAGGGGGTCCCCTTGGCACTGGTGCTTGGGTTTCTTTGGATACCGAGTGCTGGGACTTCTGCAGGCAGTGGGTGTTGGAATTGCTTTGGATACTAGATGCTGGTGTTGAGGTTCACCATTGTACTGACACCAGTGCTAGGAGCTTCTCTAAATGCTACAGAGATGGCTTTCAAGACTGCCCTGTGTGGTGCATGCCTGTGCTAGGGCTTCTTTGAATTCTAGGTGCTGGAGTTCTCCATCCATTGAGTGCTGGTATTTGGAGTGCTTTGGGTACTTGGTGCTGGATGCTAGGGTTTCTCTTAGCATTGGGTGCTGGTGTTAGGGGTTATCAGGGTGCTGACACCAAAGGTAGCCTGTCCCCTAGGTACTGGGTGCTGGTGGTGAGGGTTCTGTGGATACCGGGTGCTAGCATTGAGGATTATCAATGCACAGCGTTGGATGCTGCCCCGAATGCTGAGGTCTGGCACCGAGCATTACTTCGTGTGGTGCATGCTGGATGCCAGAGCTGCTTTAGGTGCTGGGGCTTCTGCATACACTGGGTGCTCATGTTTGGAATATTTTGGATATGGGTGCTAGGACTTCCCTGGCACTGGGAGCTGGTGTTCAGGGCACTGGCACCGGAGCTGGGAGCTCCTCTGAACCCAGGGTGCTGGCATTGGGAGCTCTCAAGCTGTCAGCACCAGGATTTCTACCAGATGCTGGAGCCAGGGACTGACTTGGACACTGGGGGCTCCCCTGAATGCCCTCGCCCAAGGGGCTCCCTGGGACACTGGGAAGTAGCAGGCAGAGCTTCTCAGGACCCCAGCACTGGGCATGGGATGCAGGCAGCGGCGCAGGTGCTGGGTGGTGGCTTTGGGTGTGCGGGGCTGCAAGGGACACCAGCACCAGGTGTGGGGGTGAAGGCATTATAAAAGGTGCTGTCCAGTCCCTTGCCTCAGCGTCATGAAGTGGTCAGAAATGCTGACTTTTCCCTTTCCGTAAAAAGACTTGGAGAACAGCTCTACACACAGTGGGATATTGCATTTACTTTGATTCAGACTGGATGTAAGGAAAAAGTTTTTTACAGTAAGTGTGGCGAGGCACTGGCACAGGCTGCCCAGAGAGGTGGTGGTGCCCCATCCCTGCAGACAGCCGAGGTCAGGCTGGATGGGCTCTGAGCACCTGATGGAGCTGTGGGGGTCCCTGTTCATTGCAGGGGGGTTGGAGCAGATGGCCTTTAAGGGTACCTTCCAACTCAAAGCATTCTAAGATTCTCCCTAGAAATGGCCCTGTTCTAAGGTCTGCCTTAGCTCCCTCCACAAAAAAAGGAACTTCAGACACCACAGATGAAGCTCAACCCCTCCCTCCCCCCACGCACAGAACCCAAACTTTTCCCAGAATGAGACAGGCCATTGACAAGGATCCCCCAGGCTCTCCTCCTCAGGCTCACTCCTCTAAGGACAGACCATGAGAAGTGATGCTGAGTCTGCACTTCTTTCTCTCTCCACTTTTCCCACATCTGGAACACCATAACCATGCTGCCTGCTGCATACTAAGTGAGCACGTCCAGACTCAGAGCTTGCACCAGCAGAACCTGGTTCTGTCTGCATTACCAACAGAAGGCCCCCAGTGTGACCCCCTCCAGAGAGGGTCCTGTGGGGTCTGTCCTCATACTGGGAGCTCACAGCTGGCCCGACTTGTGGAGATCCTGACCTCTCCTCCCCCAGTGCATCTCGGCCCAGAGCTGCCTTGGCTTACTGGGAAATTCCTTCATCTTTAATTTTCCCTGTCCCGAAGATTTACTGGTTTAAGGCAAGCTCAGAGCCCAAATCCTGCCGATCAGCAGCAGCTTAATCAAGGGGTTCTGCGCACCCAGCTGCTGTGCGGCGATGGGCACAACCCTGAAGGCAGTCTGGGATGAGGGCAGGGGGATGCAGAAGCAGCGGCAAGGCCCCAGGTTTCACAACAAACATGTAAAGGAGGGGTTGGGATGGCCGAGTGCTGGCACGGGGCCGCTGCAGGGGTGTGTGGCTCCTCTGAGATGGGACAACAGGGAGGGGGGCTGGAGTTCAGCATCTCGTCCAGAAAAAAAGTGTTTAAATCTTCAGTGTCCAATTAGTGGACAGCAATCACGGAAAGGTTTAATTAGAGCCTCGTAGAAAGCCCCAGCTCAAAAGCCTCTGCCCCCCTAGGAGTAAACCGAATCTAATTAAGAGGAAAGACTGCTTTAATGCAAATAGAAACGCAGCCATCTGCCCTGTTCAAAATCCCAGCAGCGCAAAACTGGAGATTTTGCTAAATCCTTCTGTTACAAAACCCAGAACGTGATTGAATGTGGGGACGTCACCGGTGTCCTGGTGGGAGGGGCACACAAGGAGCACCGTGCCCATGGTGTCCCCATGTGCCACACACTCGGGTGCCAGGGGAGGGCACAGAGCTGTCACCCACAGCGGCGCATGGGACTGAGAAGCCTCTGCCCCCCAAATGGTTCCCCCGAGGCTTCCCCTCTCCCTTCTCCCCCAGCCCTATCCTGCAGCAGGGATGGAGCAGCCCTCGCTCTGCGCAGCCCCGGGCTCCAACCCCCCCGTGGGCAGTGCCAGGCACCTGGGCACCGCTCTCGCCCCGCAGCCCTTCGCTGTGCTCCCAGACAAAGCAGCTGTCAGCTCTGCTTCGTGCCGATGCGTAGCCCTATTCTTGAGCCTGCTGCTCTGTGGCTCAGCCCATGGAGTGCAGCGCCGTGAGGCACTCCTGCCTGTGCCACCGCTCATTTCCATTGATTTCCATGGGATTGCTATTTTTAGGACAGGGCTGTGCCCTCACTCTCCTTCTGCTATTCATCCCTGGTGAGAAGCAGCCATCCCAGCCCCCAGCATCCCCACTGCCCTTGCTGGGGCTCCCCGGTGTGGTGGTGAGGCCAGGGAGACCCACGGGGCTGTTCTGGGAGGTGCTGCCCTGGCTGCTGCGTGCTGGAGGCAGTGTTATTTGTAGCTGCAGGGAGTCCCCGAGCGTGGGTGCACATGATGGGCAGCAGCTGAACCTGGGGAGGGGTGGTGCGGAGCCCATGCTGGGTTTAGGAGCCCCTGGGGCCCAGCCCACTGCTGTTGCTCCCACCATTACCTTCCACTTTCCACTTCTCAGTCTCTCGGTGCTCATCTGTGAAGGTGGGTGCAGGGGAATCCTCTGCTTTGTGCCGACTCTGGGGACAGCCTGTGATGTCCAAACATGCTGAGCGTGCCTCCCGCGGTGTTCTCCTGCCCACGGCCATTCTGTGCCTGCGGCCTGAGTCACAGAGCTGAATTCCCTTCAATTCATTCATTTTGCCAAGATATCGAAGCCCGTTGAATTTGACAGGACCCTGATAAGGGAGCACAATTGAGTACAAAACCACGCTGTAGCTGCAAAAAAGGCTGAGCATCACCAATTCCCCCGGTCCAGAGCATCCCCTGAGCACGCATGCCCTGCAGACAGCTGGGGCTGGTGGGGAGAGGGGGGACAAGAGGCTGTTTTAAGTGAAAAATGAGAATTTCCAGCAGGTCTCTGAGCACCTGTGTGTGCAGGGTGGGCAGCAGAACCCCCTCATCACCCCCCTCTGTTTGCATTTCCCAGCACATTGCTGCCGGCGTTTGGGAAAGGTCGGGCTGACAGCGTGTGCAGAGGTTCTTCAGGGACACAGGGTGGGCTGGGGACAAGCAGGGAGAGGGAATTGCTTGTGACAGGGGATGTGACGTGCTGCTGGGAGCATGCAAGATGGTTGCTGCGCCCTGCCTTTTCCCAGTGAGCTCTTGGCACAGCGGGATGCCGGATGTGCCCTGCATCCCACGGTGTCTCTTGCTCACCCTGTGAGGTCCTGGGACACAGAGCCCTGTCTCGGTGTTCCCTTCCCCCCTCACATCACCCTTTGCTCACTCCCTCACAGCTCTCTGCCTGGTGCTGGGCTGCATGATCTTCCCCGACGGCTGGGATGCAGAGACCATCCGGGACATGTGCGGGGAGAAGACGGGGAAGTACTCCCTGGGCGACTGCTCCGTGCGCTGGGCTTACATCCTGGCCATCATCGGCATCCTCAATGCCCTCATCCTCTCCTTCCTGGCCTTCGTCCTCGGCAACCGGCAGAACGACCTGCTGCACGAGGAGCTCAAGACAGAGAGCAAAGGTGGGCGCTGTGCTGCAGGGTGGGAACGCCACGGGGTGGTGATGGGGACCCCGTGCTGCAGCGTGGCCGTAGGAGGGTCCCACTGAGCCTCTGGGGCCATCGAAACACGGGGCAAGCCCAAGCAGTGACCGGGCTGGGGCAGGAGGGCACGGGCAGCCGAGCCCCTCCGCAGTGGCACTGCACCACTGATGCTTTCTCTTTATGTTTTGACAGATTTTGTCGGCACCGCGGTAAGTGCTGAGTTTCAGCATCCCGTCCCCTACTCCTGCGTGGCGTGTCTGGGTGCGACCGCGCTGGGTGGCCCCATGTGGATGGGAAATAAGTGGGGGCGGCAGGTTTGAGGCATGCACGTGCATGGCACAAATGACTGCGGCCACCCGTACCGCCCTCGGGCGCCCGTACCCAACGCGCTGTGCTCTCCCTGCAGAGGATATAAGGCCGAGCACCCGCAGCAGGACCTCATCCCGCGGCCGGCAGCCTGGGCGCTCCCTCCCCGTCCTGCCTTTCATCTGCTGCCGGCGGCCACGCGGCGCTCCGGGCCCCACCGCCCGCACCGGGGCCGTGCCGGCCGCCTGCCGTGCCCACGTCCACACTGACACCGCCATCCCACGCACCCCACCGGCCCCGCACCTCCGCCGCCGTCGAGGGAGGATGCCCCAAACCTGCTTCATCTGAGAGCGGCAGTTTTGTTTCAAGGGAAAAAAAAAACAAAAAACAGTCTCCAAGTTTTTAAACAGATTTCTACATCCCCGGGACTCCGGACCCGCCACCTCCCACCCCAGCGCGCCCCGTGACACCCTGCGCTGGCTGCTCCGGGCCCCAGCACCCTCCCCGCTCCCATTTTGTACAGCTTCGTGATCCTGTCTCCATGGCCGGGGAGCCCTGTGGCTGGGATGGGGCCCGCCCGTACTTTTACATGTAAATTAATATTCTCTAAACAGGGTAAAGTGACTCGAGCCCTCTCGCCCTCCCCCCCCCCGCCCGGCAGCGCAGCCCCAGGACCGCGTGCTTTCCAGTGCTGCCGGGGCCGCAGGCTGCCGCTCGCTCCATCCCGGGCGTGGGGACCGCAAGGGCCTCGCTGCCGCCGGCTGCCGCGCCGCCCGATCCGCACCACCGCTGAATGTAAAGCCCCGGTAAGTGGGAGCAGCCGGAAATACAAAACCCCCCCGGGCGGGTGCAGGAAGAAACCCCCTCGTCCAGCCCCAGCCGCTGCCAAACCTCCCCATCCCCATACGGTGCTTTATCTCCACTGGTGACAGCGAGGCTCTCCCCGCCACGCGGCTCCTACCCGTGGCTCGGCTCGCATCGCCGTCCCGGCCGCGTGCCCGGCTGCGGCTCACCGGCACGGGGCAGCCGAAGGACTCGGGCACGGGCAGCCGAAGCCCGGCCGCGGCTCTGCTGGCCAGACCGGCTCGTGGGCTTCCCCGGGCGCCCGCCGCAGCCCTCACGATGCAATAAAGTCCTCAGCAGCGGCCGCGTCTCAGTGCCGGTAGCCGGGGGCCGTTGGCAGGGGCACCCGGCTGCGGGTAGGGCTCCGGGAGGGCGAGGACGGGAACGGGGCCGCCGGTGGGAACGCGGAGGTGGGCGATCGCTGTGGGGATGAGGCGATGAAGGGCCGTGCGGGACCCGCTGCCGGGGCTGGCGGAGCCGGTAAGTCGCGCCCTGAGGCCCCGCGGGGTGGCAGTGAGGGACCGAGCCGTGCCGGGACACCGAGCGGCAGCCCGGGGACCCCAGGATGCGGCGGGGATCGGCGCTTCCTTGCCGGCAGCCGCCGCCCGCCATCGCCCCGCGGCCCATCGCTGAATTGGAAAACCGAGAAAATCAGTGGAGAAAGGAATACAGTAGCTGTAATATATCTGTATTTTAGTACAAAGTTTGATACGGTGTTTCACAAAACCTTATTGAAAAATATAATTCAAACCAGACGAGCTCTGAGCCCCGTGGTGTGGTGCGGAGCGGGACCTGCGCCGGCTGCAACAACGTGGGGGGGGCGGGGAAAGGTCTGCCTTTCCCACCGGGCTGGGGGTCGGGGTCGGCACCAGGGCGAGAAGCAGGGTTTGCTGCTGCCCGAGCTGTGCAGAGGTCGGGCTCGGCTGAAGGACCTGCCTGCTGCCTGCGGTGCCGCCAGGTGACAAAGAACTTTCTGCGCTGGAGGTGTTGGGCACCTCGCGCTTCCCAGCCGAGGTGTGGCTTCACTCCAGGCCCAGCTCAGGCTTCCTAAGGAAAAGGCAAGCCACGGTAAAACTGGGCGTCAGCGCACCAGAAAACCGCTGGTGAAAAGCACCGAACTAACGCCCTAAAACGGGCTCTGAAGGAGGTAATGCTGGCACAATCCTCCACCGATGGCCTCCTCCCCAAACGCGGCTTTTGTCCTCTTACCGAGCTCAGCACAGAACGCTTGTCACAGCCAGGAACCTCTGGGAACCGCCCTCTCCTCAACAACTGGGGCTTCCCAAAGCAGCACAGCACCTGGCTTTGGTTGAAATACGGGCACAGGGGAGAGCACGGGGTTGGGAAGGAGCCGCATCGCACAGCCGCCCTGCGGCAGGCAGGTGGGAGCGCCGACAGACACCTGCACAGCATTCAGGGCGGTGGGAAAAGCAGGGAATTTCAGAAACGCTGGGTTTTCGAGTTAAGTATTTTTATTATCAAAATTATTACATCTCTTGTGAAAGTTCAAATGTTACAGCACGGTGTAAAAACTCCACTAGAGTAAGAAGCTACAGCCCCCACCTTTCCAAGAGCTTTCCAGGGTCCCTCCCTCCTACCCCGCTGTGACCAGAGGCGCCGGTGCCTGGGCACGGAGCTGCCCCGGCCCCCTCCTGCCGCCCTGCAGGGCAGAGCCTGCCTGCCCCGTGCTGCTCATAGCAAGGAAGGGGAGGCTGCACACCCAGGGCTAAGCCGAGCGAAGTTTACACCTAATTTTATACAGTATACAGACACCCAACTGCAGGGTGACAAGTTCCATCCCAACATGCTCACAGCCAGACAGTGTGAGAAAGTTAACTCTTTGATTCAATATTTTAAAAGTCTCCCCTAGGTTGAACAAACACCTGATTTCAATTGTGAATTAGAGAAACCTGTAACAGTCCTAAAAAAGAAACAAAACGAAACGAAACAAAAAAAAAGAAGACTGTGCATCTGAAAAGACAGGGGAGACAGACTCACAGCATCATGTTATCCAAGAGGAAGGAGAAGTTCCACTGCAGCACCAGGGATGACACCTGTCGTATATTAGCTAACCTACTATGGTTATAACTGAATATAAAATTAGATAAATAAAAACACGCCCGATATTACAGTAAACAAGTGAGAAAGAAGCTGGCAATCTTATGGAATCGAGCAGACAGCGCACTGTGCTCGGGCTGGCTCCCCCCGCTCGGCAGACAGGTTGAGGGACGTCCATCCACGCGCCACCCGCACACTGAGGTCCCCCCGGCACGTCGCAGCCCCGGCCCAGCACCGTGATCCTCCTGGCAGCTGCTCAGCCCTCTGCCAGCCCCCAGCACACCACAGCATCGCCACTGCGTGGCTCGGCGGGGCCCCTGACCCCCGCGTGTCTGCAGCACCGCTCAGATCCCTCCACCCCTCGCAGCGCTGCGCCCCACGCGGTGGCAGCACGCCCCAGCTCCTCTGCAGCAATGGGCACAACGCGCCCCCGCTCCCTGCTCCCGCTCCCTGCTGCTCGTTCACATTGGTGGAGACTCGTCCTGGAAATGCTCTGACTGCAGCAGCCGTCGCCCGGCCCAAGGCAGCAGTGTGCACTCATCTGCTTGTGACTGGAATGATCGTAACGGATTAAAGCCCTCCCCAGAACGCACTGAGAACCTGACCTATAAAGAGAGCTTTGGGATTGGAGTTAAACTTACCCAATGATTTCTTTAAACTGCATTTGTATCAAAACAGACGTCCGTACTGCATGAGTGACTATGGCCATGGGCACGGACAAGGGACAGAGGCTGCACCACAGTCATTGCACTTGAACCATTTGCTTTTTTTTGTTTTCTTTTCTTTTCTTTTTTTTTTTCTTTTTTTTTTCCTTTTGCAATGTACTCACACATCAGGGAACAGCTTTGCTACAGTCTCTGCCTCAGAGAAATCTGCTTTCTCATGCAAGGCCAGAGGCCAATACTGCTCACAAATCTCACCCGTGCATTCAGACCTCAGCCTCTGACCCCCGGCACCCAGCCTCGGGTGCGACCTCCCAACACCGGCCCAGGAGCCACTTCCAGCAGTAACTGGAAGGAGCTGTGGGGCAGTTTTGTTCCTCCTGGAGTCCAAGCAGCCCTAGGAAAGTCCTGTTTGAGTCTTTACTCCAGAACCTTGAATCTGCTGCAGTCTGTACTGATGGACGCTGCTGCCCCCTCGGTGTGGGTAGTGTTGTGCACTGGAAATCACCGCCCCCCGGGAGCCCTGGTAGAGAACTGACTGCCCAGAGCTCGGAAGGCTGATAGTCCGCAAGTCTGACTGTAGTGACCTGGAGCTTTGGGGGGCTGAGGTGGAGCTGGACGCTCCTGTGCAGGGCTGAGAGCCAGACTCTGAGGAAAGAGAGTCCACAGCCATTTGCTGTGCTGGGCTGGCAGCAGCTGGGCAGCTCTTCTTCAGGAGGCTGCTGCTGGCACTGCCGGAGTGCTGCTGGCTGCTGTAATACCCCGAATTCCCTGCAAACAGGGCAGAGGAGTCTGTGGAGACCAAGTGGGCAGGGCTGGAGTACGAGGAAGAGGAGAGGGACGTTTCTGAGGAACTGTGGGAGAGGCTGTGTCCTGTCCTCTGTGCTGCCGCTCGGTAGCTGTAGCCAGGAGAAGGAGTCAGGTGTCCTCTGTAGGGGGAGGAGCTCTGCTGGAGAAGGGTCTGCGACTCTGCCTGCGGACTGTCAGACTGCAGGAGCTGAACATGTTGGTGGGAGAAAAAGGAAAAGACATCAGACACAGTTCCCTATGTCCTACCTCATCATACTCTAGCTGCTTGGTACATCAGGACTGGCAATAACTGACAGCTTCCTGCTAATGCTGTCTAAAGCTTTACTTCTGAATGGGCAGATAACAAATGGCAGAATTTACCTGGTAGCTGTATCGAGAAGGACTGTAAACTGCTGGTCCTTTGTGGGCTTCTGGAGTGTCTCCTCCTGCTGTATCTGCAATGCACAGCACAGGCAACGTGTTACACTTCACCCCTGGACTGAGGTCACCATGGTTCCCTCTCAAGTGACACCTGCAAGCTGCAGCTGTCTTGTTCTGCCTCCAGCTACAGCTGAGACCAGAGCGGCTCCTCCGTCATTGGCCTTTTGGAAGCTGAAGAACCCTAACAGAAGGCAGTTGTAAACATTCATGTGACTCACAGCAGCCACACACAGTAGGCACTGCTGCTCCCCTTACACCGACTCTGGTTTAGTGCAAGGCTTACTTCTCTTGACCCAGCTTATCTGAATGGCTGTATCAGTGACAGCACGCAGGCTGTGTGTGCTCCTGGGGCTTTCCAGAAGGACACAAGAGGCAGAAGACAGTTTCTAAGGACTCAGCAGCTCTCCACTCGATTCTGGCCATAGGCCCTCACTGGCTAGTTACAGCTGGAGAAATAAAACTACCCCTTCTTAGATGGGCTGTCAGCAGGCTCCTGCCACTGGCTCTCCTCAAAGGCAGATCCAGGCACTGCCCAAGACTGAAGTCCCACGCTGCCAAGGCTGACTGCACCTCTGCTGCCATGCTGGGGAACATGCTTCACAAGCCAGCGGGCTGTTCCAAACCAGCTTACCCTTAAATCTCAGAAAATGCTGCCCAAGATGGTGAAAAGGTGTGACTGAAGGGGTAACAGCAGCACAGTACACACTGATGCATCACTGCTACATGAGAGAGAAAAAGGAATAAGCTTTTTCTTAGCAGAGCAAGCCCTTCCAACGCACTGATCCTAGAGGGCAGGCGAGTTTTTTTGTCCCAGCAAATAACTGAACCTCAACTGAGACAGACAAAAAAATACGTTCAGCAAGTGACCCAGTCACTCTGACCTGTGTGTTCTGTTGCC